ACTCAACCTCCATATCTGTCCCAGTACAACCTTGCCTATCTCTTCCATTCCAGTTCCATAGTAAACAAACTCCCCTTTATCAAACTCCTTCTTTCTCTCATATACTTTTTTCACCTGTTAGAACTCAGAGACCTGGCTTTCCCCGGATCCTCTTTTATATGACAGGTCATACTATTCCACAAATGGGAATCGGAATACTCTTACTCTCTACTCTCTCTTCAGATTCCCCCTTTGTTTCTTTCTCTTGATAACCTTTCCTCTCCTGAAGTCCACAAATTAAAATTTTCCACCCAATCAAAATGGTGAGACTAATCAAAGTCATTCTACCTCCTCTCTCAAGTTCAGCACCTGGTTTGCCCTCTTGATCTTCTCTCAAACTCTTTCCTGACTTATACTAGGGTACTTTAATAAAATCTAATAGTCTACCTGCCCATAACTTCTGAGCATTCCACCTTTCCCTATGCTTCATGTTTTCCAAACCTGTTCTATTGCCTGATCAAAATTTCCACTCCCTCTACCCCACAGCATTTTCTCAGGCCGTTACCCATGCATGCTCCTACTTCATTTACCTCTCTTTGCAACTTCAACCAAGAGTTAGCTATATCAACCCTACACTGTTCTCTGCTCTTGAATTCCTCTCCCCCTCTCCCATCTTCTCTTTCCACACCTCATCCCTGAATTTCTCCCAGTGCCTTTCTTGCACCTCTTCTACTCCTACTTGGAAACTGTTGAATAGAAGGTGGAGATCCCACAACAAGTTGACTAGGTACCAGATTTATTAAAAGTTGATGTTATCCAACCACAACTGGACCTTTACTGTGGTAAGGCAGTTTTTTTTTATTTCTTCCTAACTGATTCCCCTTATCATTCCCACAAAAGTGATTCCAAGTATCTTTCCTGTTAAAGCCCTTTCTTTACACTTCCTCCCCTCTCAGCTGGGACTCTTACTTCTTACTTTACCACCCCCCCAAAAAAGGCATAAAATATAAGCTTCCTGTACACCTCAAAATTCCTTGATATCACCTCCTACTCTCTTTATTTTCTCTAGTCTGTCAGAGAGGTGGCCTTTCTCCTTGCAAAGGTCAACCCCTCTACATGAACACTTGATCCCACTCATCCCATCTTCTTCATAAGGTTGTATTTTCAAATCATGCCCCAAACTCTACATATCAACTGCATTCAAACTTTTCCAAGTGTCCCCCATCCTTAAAAAACATTCACTAGTAGACCCTACTATTCTCTTAAGCTATTGTTCAATATTTATCCTCCTTTCTCAGCCAAATTCCTTTAAAAATCTATCTATAAGACTTAAAAACTCTGATCAATGAAGATTGAACAGAACAGAATGAACAGAAGTGATGGACGAAGAATGCAGAGACATATTTCAAGGACACAGCTAATGCAAAAGTTTGTTTTGCCTGACTGTACATATTTGTTATAAAGGTTTTTATTCCCCCCCCCAATAAGAGGGAGAAAATGGATTTCTGTTAAAAGAAAAAAGATTAAACTTTCAAAAAAAAAAAAAGGAAATGTAAGCTTCTTTAGGGCCAACATTAATTTTTTTGTATGGATATCCCTAGGACCTAGCATTGTGCCTTCCACCTAGTAGGTGCTTAATAAATGCCAATCAAATTAGCTTAATTTTTATGAAATAGTTAATAAACTTCTTGGAATGAAAAAAAAATTAAGTTATATGCACTGAATTTTTCCATTTCCTCTCCTTTTACTACTCTCTTCAACTTTTTCTAATCTGACTTTAGCCTTCATAACTCTACTGAAACTGCTTTCTCCAAGTTTACCAATAATTTCTTAATTGCCAATTTCCTCAATCCTGCTCCTTCTTGATCTATCTACTGCATTTGACACTGTGGACCACCTTTTGTCTCTGGATTTTCATGACAATACTTACTCCTGGCTCATCCCCTACCTGTCTGACCACTCCTTTTCAGTCTCTTTCCTGGCTCTTCTATTACATCAAATCCCCTAACTGTGGGCATTCCCCAGTGTGCTGTTCTGGCACTCTTTTCTTCTGTATATGAAGGATTCTTAATATTTGTCTCTATTACAGACCATTCCGGTAGTCTGGTGAAGTCTCTGGGCCCTTTCCCCCAATAATGTTTTCAAATACATAAAATAAAAAGCAGAGGATTATGAAGGAAATCAATCACATTGAAAAAGTTATCAAAATACCTTTAAAACAAGCACAGGCTCCGAGTTAAGAATTCCTACTCTAATGCTCTCAATAACTTTATCAGATCCCATGCACTTAATTATCATCTCTATGCAGGTAGCTCCTAGATTTATATATCCAGCCCAAATAATACCTCTGAGCTTCAGTCCCACATCACCAATTGCCTGTTGGACATTTCAAACTAGATGTCCTGGAGAATATTAAACTAAATATGTCTAAATTTCCTCCCCAAACCTTCCCCTTTTCCCCCTTCTTCTTGAAAGCTACCACCATCTTTCCAATACCCCACATTTGTAATCTCAACTCCTCACTCTCCAACATTCAACATATCCAATCAGTTGCCAGATCAAACTGTTTTTACCTCCATAACTTCTTGTCTCAGACCATTCTGCTCTACTCAGAAAGCTATCACTTTAGTTTAGGTCCTTATCTCACATTGCAATGATCTATCTCCTTGGCTCAAATCTCTCACTATCCAAATAATCCTAAATCCTGCTACCAAAGTATTATTCCATATTCATAGATCTGAACATGTGATCCCTTATTCAATCAACTCCAAGGGTTTCCTATGGTCTCTAGGATAAAAAATAAATTCCTCTGATTTATTTTTGATATCCTTTACAACCCAGCCCCAGCCTTTCCAGCCTCATTGCATTCTGTGATCTGGTCAAATTGGTCTTTTCTCTGTTTCTTTTACATGGCATTCTATTTCACCTCTTCATACCTTTGTACTGACCATCCCCATTCCCCATGACTGGACTGCACTCCCTTCTTACTTCTGCGTCAAAAAGTCTCTTCTCCTTAAAGACACAACTTAAGCACTATCTTCTGTATGTCTTTCCTGATTCCCTCAACTCCTGGTGTCCTCCTTCCCAAACTATTTTGTATTTAACTACTATATATTTATGTTTATTAACTTTATGTTAATTCTTTATTTTTTTTATATGTACATATTTGTCTCCATTAGAACGTAAACTCCCTGAAAGTAGGGGTTATTTCATTCTTTGTACTTGTATCCACAGCAATTGAGTATTGGGCATTTCAAACTGGATACATCAAAAACATCTTAAACCCAACATATCCAAAACTAAATTAATTATCTTCACCCCTAAATCCTTTCCTCTTCCACACTTCCCTATTTCTGTTGAAGTCCTCCTGGATTTCAACATTTGTAACCTTGGCACGATCCTGAGTTCCTCATTCTCCCTCACCCCACATATCTAAGTAGCTGCCAAATCTTGTTCTACCTTCATAACATCTCTCACATCTGACCCCTTCTCTCCACTCACATAGCTACCACCTTAGTTCAGACCACCATCACCTCTCACATAGATTATCACAATAGCCTTTTAATTGATTTCCATGACTCAAGACTCTCACCACTCTGGTCCATCCTACAAATGCTACCAAAGTCATCTTGCTTAAGTGCCAATATGACTATGTGATTCCCAAACTCAGCTAATTCCAGCAGCTTCCTACTGCCTCTAGGATAAAAAATACACTCCACTGATTAGCTTTTAAGACTAGAAGGCCTAAAATTTAAGAATATTTTGAAAGAACAAACTGCCAATTGATAGTATATTTTTTTATACATGAGACAAAGAAAATAGAGACAGTAGGAAGAAAAATTTCTATTTCAAGGTAAAATTATGACATTTTGTATCAACTGACATATCGGGTCCTTCCAGCTTTAAAGTCCTCTATCAGCCCACAACCTACTATTCCAGCTTTGATGAATGTTACTCCCCTCTCATACTCTAAGATCTGGCAAAATTAACCTTGTCTCTGTTACTTACCACACCCCATCTCCCTGCTTTGTGCTTCTGCACTGTCTACTCCCAATTCTTGGAATGTATGCTTCCTTAACTCCACTTCAGAGTCCTTCTCATCCTTTACAATGTAGCTAAAGCACCGTTTTCTATATGAAACCCTTCCTGATTCCCATAACTGCTATTGCCCTCTCTCCCAAACTACTTGGGATTTAACTATTTTGTACATTTGTATTTACCAATTTTTTACTTCGTATACTTAATATTTTACTACGTATACTTAGTATCTCCTCCATTAGAATATAAGCTCAGTGTAGACTAATGATTGTTTCACTATTTGCAGCTGTATCTCCAGAGCCTAGCACAGTAGCTGACACAGCAGATGTTTTACAGATACCTGACTGATTGGTTGACGGGCCTGTGATTCCTTTGGTATAGAAAACCTACCAGGTGAATTAATTCCTTCTATCAATGCAGGTAAAATACCATCTCTACAACTAAGAATCTTAAGAGTTATCTACACAACTTCGAAACAAAGTGACTTGCTTGGGGTCAAAACAGCCAATTATTTATCAGAGGCAGGACTTGATGCTAAACCACACTAACTTCATGCATTCATGAAGCCATTGCTTCTCTGCACACTTCACCATGCTGCCTCTCATGCTTTTTTAGTAAAGGACTAAAGACTGATTTCTTATTTCTCCTTCCATTAAAATGCATTTTTATAAAATTATTTATCCTAGACCTCCTCAGTGGATACTCAGACATAAACTCTTGTTTCTCTTTACAACATAAAGTATTACTTCTCTATACAACTCAGAGAGGGTAACCATAACACAATGACAGCTGAATAGGTCAATCATAAAGCTGAATTTCTAAGCCATTCAAATTAATTCCAATCAGGCAAATAAATTTTCATGCACAATAGATTTGCATGTAAAGTAAGGCAACAAATCAATCAGATACACACACTTCTGAAGCTACTAAGTTACAAAACATACAAATAATAAATTCAAATTTTTTATATCTTTTATACATACCTTGCCTTGTTGCACTGAACAATCAACGCATCCTACTTGAATGTTCCCATGCTTAGCTCCAGGGATTATCTGTAACCTTTCAAAATTACTTCCCAGTATTACAACATCACATCCAGATGCGTAAGCCTTTAAAAAACAAAACACAAGCACAAAAAAGAACCTTAATAAGTCACGTATACTTCAAATTACTAATCAAAAGAGAATTGAAAATTAAAACCACTGTTAGGTTTCCCCTCATGCTCAGCAAATTGGCAAAGATGAGAAAAGTCAGGAATAGTCAGTGTTGGATGGGCTATGGAAAGCACGTTAAAACATTGTTGATGAAGCTGTGAACTGATCCAACCATTCTGGAAAGCAATTTAGAGTTATGATGAGCAAAATGATTAAGATATCCATATCTTTTGACCCAGAGATCCCATTGTTAAGTATATATCCCAAGAAGGTCAATGATTTAAAAAAAAAAAGGCCCATACACACCAAAATATTTGTGGTAGTATTTTTTGTTTGAAGTTCCAGCAAAAAACTGGAAACTGGGTAATGGCAAAATAAATAGTGGTTCATAAATGTAAAAGAATGTAACTATGCTTTAAGAAATGATGAGTGTTATGAATACAGAGAAACATGGTAAAATGTACATAAAATGATGAAAAGCAAAGATGGCAGAACTAGGAAAACAGTAAACAAAATGTCTAAAGAATGTAAATGTAAAGAACAACAACAAACTGAAACAGAATTCTGTGAAATTATAAAGATCATGCTTAGGCCACAAAGAAGAGATAGAAAAATGGACCTCCCTTTCTTCTTGGAAGATGTGGGAGAGCTATGGGTATGGAGCACTGTAAAAAAAATGAATAGGTGCAGCTAAGTGGCTCAGTAGATAGAGCATCGGTCCTGGATTCAGGAGTACCTGAGTTCAAATCCAGCCTCAGACACATAAAACACTTACTAGCTGTGTGACCCTGGGCAAGTCACTTAACCCCACTGCCTAGCCAAAAAAAAAAAAAGAGTTGATTTGTTTTGTTGAACTTCATTCTATGCACAGGGGACACAGCCAATGGGAAAACAAAGAGATAGGAAATCTAGGTGTTACAAAAACAAAAGATAATAAAAGCCCATTAGAAATTTTAAAAACACTAACTGAAAAAAAAATGAGATAATTTGCCCATGGGACTAAGCCTGGAAACATTGATCTAAGTTCCTAGTGAAGTGAGACTTAAAAAACCCTTTACATAAATAGTATGTACTCCTCGGGCTTGATGAACTGAGTAAGTTACTGTTACTGAGTAAGTCACTACTACTGAGTAAGTTAAGGCAATTGACCAAGCACCTTTCTGCATGGAGATGAGAAGCCATATCTTTGTTGAATATCCTTCTCATCCTATTGTTACGTAAACTTATAAAAATAAAATGTTATATGTGGTCTACCTAACATATTTCTTCTAATCTCAAGCTTGAACCACTTAAACTGGCCCAAGCAATCTTGGGCCACAAATAGATGGGACCAATGTACAAGTAGGGGAGTTGGTCTGGTCTTAGTGAAAAAAAGGACTACCTCCTTAGCAATGGGAATAAAGGAGGAAGTGACGTCAAGGAGTTCTGAGATATACAGAAAGGCAAAAGAAAGAACTCAGGTGAACAGCCTATATTTTCTCATTGTAGACAAAGACTTCTATTGAAGTTTGGAACAACAGTTGTAGAAAAGGAGACAGATAATCAATTACGGAAAAAGTAGGGATTTGATCCTTTTAATGAGGTCCTTGTTGCGATTCGATAACAAATTTGTAGTGGACCCAATTAATCAGGTTGTGATTTCATCCAGCATCATTCAGTCATTTCCATTTCCATAATAGCTTCTTCCTCTACATTCATATAGCTACCACCCTAATCCAGGCCCTTATTACCTCTCACCTAGAATATTCCAATAGCTGTCTAATTGGTATCCTCACCTCAGCACTCTAAAGTCTAATTCATCCATTCTCCCGCAGATACTAAAGCTATTTTCCTAAAGCACAGATTTGACCATATCTCCCTCTCCCCATAGAGTACTCAACAAACTCCTTATTACATTGAAGATCAAACAAAACCTCTTCTAAATTTAAAGTTTTTCACAATCTGGACCCATCCTTCCTTGCCAAGATGATGTATTATTTCCTTTCATGCTCTCTACAATACAGCCAAAATGGCATTCTTGCTGTTCCTCCCAAATGACACTTGTCTCCAGTGCATGTATGACCTTATCACTATCCTACTCAAGAGACTCTAAGGGATCGTACTGCCTAGAATCACATATAAGCTCCTTTTTTTGGCATTTAAAGTCCTCCAAAACCTGGCTCTACCCTACCTTCCCAACCTTATCATACAACACTCCTTATTCTACATGATATTGCCTTTCCCACAAAAGTGATTCTGTGTCTATTTTGTTTTTTAAATACATCCTGTGTTTGTACATCTTCCCCCCTTCAGAATGTAAACTTCTTGAAGGCAGAGACTTTTGTCTTTGTACCCAGAACAGTGCCTAGAAACACAGTAAATGCTTAATAAATGGTTGATGAATGACTGCTTTTTAAAAGAAAATTTCCTTTCAATATTCACTAGTCAGATGTAAGTATGATGACAAAAATACCATATTATCAACCTTAATTTCATTTTATTGTATTTGATTTTTCATTTACCTTTGTCGTTTTGTTGAAATTCTTCTCTTGTGTATCATTACTCTAAATGTTTCCTGTAGTTTTTATTCAAGTTACCTTGAAGTGATTTTAAAAATTATTCTTCAATGGGACAAAAACAAAGCAGGTCTAGAGCTGAAGTAAAAGTTATCTGAAAACTACACTTACAAATTAGCACCTTCCTTTGTGGTTTAATTTAATCAATAAATAGAAATCATTTATTAAGGGTTTAGTATTCATGAGGCACAGTACTAAACACTGAGGCAAGAAGGTTCCTGCTCTCAAAAAGCATTTATTTTAATGCGGGAAACAACACTTAAAGAAACAAGTACATATAAGATATGAACAGAGCTCTAGTAGCTAGAAAAATGATGACAAGCCTCATGCATAAGGTGGGATTTGAAATGAGCCTGAAGGAAGCCATGAAAACTCAGAAGAGATAAAGGAGAGCATTCCAGGCAGGGAAGAAAGGCACAGAGACAGAAGATGGAGGGTCATGTGCTGGGAACAGCAAACAGGTCAATGTATCTAGATGGGAGGGTGAGCAGAGGGGTGTAAAGTCAAGTCAACAAGTATTTATACAGCATCACTACATGCTAGGCAGTGTTAAGCTATGGGAATACAATGAAAGGCAAAAATAGCTCCTGCCTTCAAGGAGCTCACAATATAATGGGAAAGACAACATGCAAACAAGATATATAAAGAATAAGTAGGATATAATCTCAGAAGCAAGAAATTAACATTAAGGAGGACAGGGAAAGGTTTCTTGCAGGAGGCAGAATTTTTGCTAAATCTTGAAAGAAACAAGGGAAGTGAGAGTTGGGGGATAGTCAGTGAATATGCACAGTCAGGAGATGGAATATCTTGTTCAAGAAACAACAGGAAGGCCAGAGGCACAGAGGCACAGAATCACAGAGTATTAGAAGACTGGAAAGGGAGGAAGAACCAGATTGTGAAGAGCTTTAAATGTCAAACAGAAGCCTTGGTATGTGATTCTCTGGAGGTAACAGGGAGCCACTGGAGTTTTCTGGGTAGAGGGGTGACATCATAAAGACCTATGCTTTGAGAAAATTACTTTGACCACCAATAACCCAAAATGATGGTAATATAGGACATACTAAAGATTACACCCATATCCTCTAGGATTGATACATCAACATTTCAAAAAATGTGTTACCTCATACATTTTCATAACACCAATTAACATGAAGTTTCCACATGAAAGAACAGAAAGAAAATTTTGTATAAAACCACAAAGTTCTATTACAAATAGAACTTACTTTTTTCATGTAGTTTTAAAGCCCCCTTGCTTGTCAGTATCTCCCCTCAACCTCCTTTTGTTCTCTTTTGTGTTTAAATGCTTCAATAACTGTTTTCTTTTTTTATATCACTATCACTTAGCTCCCCTTCCCCTAATCTCCTCCATTTCTTTTTAAAAAGCCCTTGTGACTAATAAGCAGGGCTAAACAAAACAAATCCACACATAGTGTTTAAAAATGCATTTCACAATAGCACAGGAGGTAAGTAGTAAGTTTCATTATTAGTCTTCTAAGGATTTGTGCTTGGTGGCTGCATTTATCAGAGAGGACTTAAGTCTTTCAAACTTATCTGTCTTTATCATGTTATTATACAAACTGTTCTCCTAATTCTTCTGCTCAGCATAAGTTCATATAAATCTTTCCATATTTCTCTAAATCCAACCTTTTCTTATTTCTCATTGCCAATAATATTCAACTGCATCTATACATTGTAATTTGTTCAGTAATTCCCCAGTTGATGGACACAAATTATTTTCCAGTTCTGTTACAACAAAAAGTACTGCTAAAAATATCTTATACATGTGAATTCTTCCTCCTTTTATCTTTGATCTCTTTGGAATATAAGTAGTGGTAATGATGGGTAACTTTGGTGACTTTGGGAGCTTTGACAACACAAATTTAACAATTAGTAAACAGCTACTGAAATAGTGATAACATCTTCTATAAGAAAAAAAGAACTACCCAAAAGGATAATATTTTGTCAAGCAGTATGCTGGAGTGAAAGATCAATTCAGAAGACCTGGATTCAAAGTCTACCTCTGACATTTGTGAGTTGTGTGACCTTGAGTAAAGTCACTTTTCTTCCCTGGCCTCGGCTACATAAAATAACAGGGATGGATGGCCTGTTTACCTATAAAACTTGTTTTTTCTAATATTTTGATAACTAAATTTCAATACAATTTGTTTCCTTGTAATGCTAAGTATTTTACAGATTTAAAAACATTATTCTGAAAAAGGGTCTACAGGCTTCAGATTGTCAAAGGAGTCCATCACACACACCCCCCCCAAACTCTTAAGTGGATAGGTGGATAGGTAATTAGAGAGAAAGGCAGACAAAGCTGCCATTTATCAGGTATATGAATCTACAAAGCTACTGAATATTTGGGAAAATCCTCTTTGTACACAATCAAAAATATTC